ATTTCGGTGCATTCCCACTTGTTGACCACAACCGTACAAGGGGACCACAACCGTACAAGGGGACCACAACCGTACAAGGGGACCACAACCGTACAAGGGGACCACAACCGTACAAGGGGACCACAACCGTACAAGGGGACCACAACCGTACAAGGGGACCACAACCGTACAAGGGGACCACAACCGTACAAGGGGACCACAACCGTACAAGGGGACCACAACCGTACAAGGGGAGGAGACGAATATCTCCTTACATTCCTTCGCCTCATTTGGGTTTACAGCTTAGTTAACGCCTGTGATCTTTGGTCTCAGTTTCTCTCAGTTTGAAGAGGCTGTCACCTACTTTATCGTGATATTGTAGATAAAGTCTTATCTTCCCTCTCTTAAGGTTTCATGATCCCAACACTTTACGTCAAGAAACGTTTGCTGTGTCTACCAATATTCTTAATGATCCCAACACTTTACGTCAAGAAACGTTTGCTGTGTCTACCAATATTCTTAAGAACATAAGAACAAAGGTAACAGCAGAAGGCCTATGGGCCCATAACGAGGCAGCTCCTGTTGATTAGACAGGAGGTCTAGACATTAGACAGGAGAGGTCTAATCAACAGGTCTAATCCTGTTGATTAGACCTCTCTAAACTACAACTGTTCAGTGGTTTATTTTTCTCTATTACTATTTTGGTCATCCCAGTCTATTTTTTCCTGTGATTTAAATCACTCAGCATTAGGATCTTCCTCCCTCCCTTGTCCTCCCTTCCCTTGTCCTCCCTTCCCTTGTCCTCCCTTCCCTTGTCCTCCCTTCCCTTGTCCTCCCTTCCCTTGTCCTCCCTTCCCTTGTCCTCCCTTCCCTTATCCTCCCTTCCCTTGTCCTCCCTTCACTTGTCCTCCCTTCCCTTGTCCTCCCTTCCCTTGTCCTCCCTTCCCTTGTCCTCCCTTCACTTGTCCTCCCTTCCCTTGTCCTCCCTTCCCTTGTCCTCCCTTCCCTTGTCCTCCCTTCCCTTGTCCTCCCTTCCCTTATCCTCCCTTCCCTTGTCCTCCCTTCCCTTGTCCTCCCTTCCCTTGTCCTCCCTTCCCTTGTCCTCCCTGGCCACTGTGGGTTTTGCCTTTCCATAACATTCGAATAATTGTCACTACTTGTGATATAACATGAAATAATATAGTATACGTAATATACAATATGCAGATAACACCACGGATACAATATACAAAAAATACATGTAAGATATAACGTAGATAAATAGACCTTAACCTGCTGGGATCTTGACGTGATGCTCCTCATGACTTTTCTAGTGAAAAGAAACTCTTTAAACTACGCAAACTACAAATATACACACACACACACGAGGTGTATACTTCACTGTTCTCTATCTCTCTCTCTCTCTCTCTCTCTCTCTCTCTCTCTCTCTCTCTCTCTCTCTCTCTCTCTCTCTCTCTCTCTCTCTCTCTCTCTCTCTCTCTCTAAATATATATATATATATATATATATATATATATATATATATATATATATATATATATATATATATATATATATATATATATATATATATATATATATATGCACACAGGTATATACTCCGATGCTGTGTGTGTATATATATATATACACACTGAGAAGTGACGTGAGGTTCAGTTCCTTGTGTATATGTGTGTAGCTTATTCGTCTCAAGTGTGTATGCGTGAGTGTGTGTGTATACTGAAGTACGTGTTCTTGCCCAGTTGATCTCTCTCGACTATGAACCTACACAGTTGTGTACTCATTGTTTAAATCCCTGTGTGTGTATGTATATGTGTATGTGTATGCATTTCAGAACTAACCCCCACAAAGCCAGATACTGATATAACACATATTACCATACTTATACCTAATTCCTCCTTCCTCCCCCCCTCCAAACACCTCATTTTCATTAAGATATCAGATGTTCTAACATCAACTTTTAAAATACTTGACTTTCACTTAGGGCTGTAGGTGTTTATTTGCGCAAGAGGCAGTGGGGAGGGGGCAGGACTTGGCGGGCGACTCCGGATGGCATCAGCGGATCTCAAGAACGCCTCTGTGCATCGACTCCGGATTTCTCGCGAACCCTTCAGACCTGGTTTATTTATGTTGTCGACGGCCGTCCATCAGGAGGCAGGGAGGCAGATATTCAGAAGAGCAGACTAGCATACAGGCATCCGCAAGGCAATCGTGACAGTCCGTCTGACAAGGAAGATGAAAGACACAGACAGGCACGTAGATTGAGACAGGCATTCGTGCTGGCACAACTGGGCAGACAGATAGACAGACAAAGAGGGGGGGGGCAGACAGTAAAGCCTGCAGACGACGGTAGAGCTACCAACCTGCTGCTCCTCCTGCAGGAAGTCACTTCAGGACTTCGCTCTCTGACTCAACTCTATTTTCCTGAGGGCCTCTACCCGTCACCTGTCACCCGTCAGACGTCACCTGTCACCCGTCAGACGTCACCTATCACACGTCACCTGTCAGTCACACTCGACGCGTCAAGTTGACGTATAAATATACCCTCTTGCATTGAGACATAATTAGTAATGCTGAATTACAAAGCCTTTTTTTATATATCAAGATACACTATAAACACACACAAAATTCTTTTGTTTTGGTATGGTGTTGGGCCTATAAGAGGCCTATCAACCGCGGGTGGGATATTAGGAACTATATCAACCTCCAGAAGGTTATTAAGGCCACCGCAAAAGAATACTGATCAAAGAATGCTGATCAAAGAATACTGATCAAAGAATGCTGATCAAAGGATTCTTACCAAAGAATACTCTAGTCCTGTACACTGTCCAGGACCAGAGGAAACTAACTCTCAGTGTATATACACACACCGAGAAGTAGGGTAAACTCCTTGGTTTACATATCACTTCTCACTCATTAAATACATATATATATATACACACATATATAAATACATATATAAGTTTGCATTTCCATTAACTTCTCAGAAGAAAATATTTAAATATTTGCATTACATCAACAAAATATAAATCTCCATGTTTTATATATTTTTAAACTATTTGTGTTACCCGGCTGCGCACGGGGTCCCTCTCTCTCCCAAACTTCCCGCTCTCTCACCTCTCTTCCCATCTCCTCCTCGCCTCTTCTCCTCTCTCTCCACTCTCTCTCACTCTGTGTCTCTATGAAAAAATATAGGGAATCGCTCAACCACTTTTTATTAATTACGTCGAAGGGGGGGAGGGTGTGGTCACTGTGGGTCCCAACTACATTTTGACCAATAGGACCAAACCACGACAAGCCTATGTCCGTACCGCACCTCTGACGTTTCATCCCGCAGAGTTGAGTGAGGCTACCTCTAAGCGTCTGGATTACAACCACATACAGACATAAATTAGCTAATCAAAGTTTCTACGTGGAAAAATAAAAGTAATAACTTCATGTGTGGATAGAGGCTATTTTCCCTCGGTAGACGGACGGACAGAGGCTAGCTGTCTACCGACGGACGGACGGACGGACGGACGGACGGACGGGAGGAAGAGCACCCCGGGTATTGAAGCCCGGGCGGGAATGATAATAAATCTCCGAAGGGCAAAGTTCTCTCAACCAAAAGGAATTCGATACGAAGATTCCGAGGCAGCTGGACTTCAAGAGAAGGATTCGAACCCCCCGTTTTTATTTTTTTTCTCACTCCCTCTCTCCTCAAGGTGTCAGAAGCCGTCAGTGTGAAGCTCTGATTTTCTCGTCTTCCCGACAATAAAGAACTGAATGGGGAGTCGCATGCCTAAACTTGTTAATTCAAAAAAGTTTCTAAATATTTTTGTCTCACAGGTTAAATTGGTTAGGGATAAACGTAGATTAAAAACTCTCTATTCTCTACTGGTACAGGTGGTAACGATGTAGACGGGCTCCGGCTCCTGGTACCAGGCTTAGAAGTTCCCCCTTCCTCTTAGCTCATGTAAGCCTTGTATATCCTTCTATTTTTTTGGTCTGGAACGCGATCAGCCAATCGGTTTACTACCAGGTCCCTAATTACTGCTGGGTGAACAGGGACCTTCTCACTTAACATGTTCTAACCGTCTACCACTCTGCTAAAAAAAACTTCATGGTGAAAAGGATTCCTGATCAACCGGGCTTTGACTACCTTTGTCAGCCTGGGTGTTAGATATGTCAACAACAGCCTGGCGGAACAAGCCCGTCAAGGCTTGATAAAAATTCAGGGCTTGCGAGAGGGGTGGAAAAAACTCCATTAAGGCGCTTGCCCAAACCAGTGAGTATACTTGGTCCTTGGTTCGAGCCCTGGCCAGGAAGGATTGCCTTAGGCCAAAGTCCTTGTAACTGTCCACCCGCTGTTCACCCAGTAGTGATTGGGTACCTGGTTGTTAGACGATTGGCAGGTCGTGTTCCAGGGGGGGGGGGGGAAACTAGTGGGTTAAGGCTGGAGACTTTCGGCGCCGTGGAGAGAGGGGGTGGGGACCTGCTGCTTGGGTAACAGCTTCTCCTCCGTATCCACCTACCCTAGCTTTGTGCCCTGGAAAGGCCACTCCAGACCGACAATTAGAACGCAACTCCATAGTCTCCTGAGACTGATGGATGACTACTACTACTACTACTACTACTACTACTACTACTACTACTACTACTACTACTACTACTTAGGCTGACCATGAACAATGGGTAGTGAAAGCTCTCAGCTCACCAACAAGAGTCAGCAACCGTTTGTGCCTGCTCCCTCCTGTGTGGAAAAAAAAATATAGCACCAGTGTTACAGGAAGTTTCTTTTATCGTGTTATTGCGTCGCATCAGAGTATAAGTAGTGGTAGTTAAGAGTAATGCTTTCCTACTGAATGTTACAGGGGGGACGACTTTAACAACCATGCAGGTTGTTAACGACCCACACGGCGGCGTGGCTCGTCCGGTGGCGGGAATTCTGTTGGCCAATCAGAATCCCCGGGCGAGGCAATGAGTACAGGTCACAGAACCTGGGCAGGGCAGTACTCTACACTCTCCCACCCTGTCGACATGGCCTAGTTGTGTGGGACCAGCCGTATGGCGAGATTGTGACGAGGTGATCCACTCTCTTCTGAACTACGACCCGGGGAAGATGGTGACTGTTAACGCCGTGGGGGAGTGTTAGACATCTACCGTCGACATCAGGATGATAATATTGAGCCACGAGAAGGTGGAAAAGTTCTACAGACGATTGGGTTAGTTGTATGTATATACCGTCGTGTCCGTGTAGTTGGCTGAGAGTCAGGTTATCTTGAGATGATTTCGGGGCTTTAGTGTCCCCGCGGCCCGGTCCTCGACCAGGCCTCCACCCCCAGGAAGCAGCCCGTGACAGCTGACTAACACCCAGGTACCTATTTTACTGCTAGGTAACAGGGGCATAGGGTAAAAGAAACTCTGGCCATTGTTTCTCGCCGGCGCCCGGGATCGAACCCGGGACCACAGGATCACAAGTACAGTGTGCTGTCCGCTCGGCCGACCGGCTCCCAAGAACTGTCTTGCTATTACGTAGTGGATACGTGCAAGAGAAGTACAAGGGTTCGGAAGAGAAACATTATCACTACTGAGTAACGCTGCTCTCTTTGTTATTGTACTCAATATATAAATATATATATAATATAACTGTACGTCTAATGTACAGTGTCCAGTAATGTGTATATATAAATCGACATATAAGATACCCACGTTTTTGGGCAATATAGATAAATATCCATGATAAAATTTTACCTATATATTTAATTTTGTCCTTAGTCAGGGTTCAGTTATGTACGTGTGTCGCACCTGACAACAGGTCAGGCTCAGAAGGACGACACCTGACTAAGTCGGAGAGGATTACATTCGGATAACACTAGATTTATCTATATAAACTATAGTTATCAGAGTAATTATACACTAGAAAAGAATAAATGTGTTGGGCTATGTAATCGACAGTTCGATCCCAACACCGCATAGCCTAAACAAAACCCCTTCTTCCTCCCCACCACTACCCCCCCCCCTCCCCCCAAACCACTGCCCAACCACCCACAAACCAGCCGGTCAACAGGTCAGCCACCAGCATCACCCACCGCGAAAACTCATCCTCCAGAGAACTTGTGACGATAAAGTTCGCCAGTAAAGATGTCAACTTAGACCAAGTCTCTCCCCCTTTCCCTCTGGTGGTATATTCACGCCCACTGCTCTGTAACCCACGCCCTCTGGCCACGCCCTCTCTGTAGCCACGCCCTCCGCCCACTCTCCCCCCCCCCTAACTTCCTTTCCCCATACACCCCCATATAGCGCAGGATAGATTTGGTCTGTATGGGGTCCAGTGTGTGAGTATGGGGTCCAGTGTGTGAGTACAGGGCTCACTAAGGTCATCGTGACATTCTTCGAAGACCCTAGCAAATACCTGGTGTAGCTGTGGGGAACCTGCAGAACTGTGCGTGTGTGTGTGTGTGTGTGTGTGTATGTTTAAGACATTCCTCTCTGACTCTGGGTATAATATCAAGTGGTTCTTGAGCAAATACTTGGAATACCGCCCATTTTGAGTGTCATCGTGTTACTTAAAATGTCATATTTCTCAATGTTCACTTTCCGGTGTCTCGAGGAATTTCCTGATCTGCACTCTCATGTCTCCACTTACTCCTCCACCACCCCTCTCCCCTTTTCCCCCCTTATCTTGGGCCAGCGTGTACCCCTTAATATTGGGCCATGCTGCCCCTCTTATCGTGTGGCGAGGTCTAGTTCCTTCGGTCCTTCCTCATAGCTCAATCACCAAGATTAAGGTCATCTGGTTCTAGTAGCCCACCACCAACAGACGCTCTCTAATATCGTCTTGAATAGGGGCCTAGTGTGACCGTTCTATGATTCGTGAGGTGTATGCAGCGCCACAGTGGAGGTGTATGCAGCGCCACAGTGGAGGTGTATGCAGCGCCACAGTGGAGGTGTATGCAGCGCCACAGTGGAGGTGTATGCAGCGCCACAGTGGAGGTGTATGCAGCGCCACAGTGGAGGTGTATGCAGCGCCACAGTGGAGGTGCATGTTCTATGTCTGGTTTAGCACCGGGAGTTAAAACTTCCTACTGCAGTGCCCTAAGCTTACATGCTTAGTCTCCAGCTTGAGAAGTTTCACTGCCGTGGCTGGACAGCTGTGACTCTAGAGAGAGAGAGAGGTTATATGTAAGGCTCGGAGATCACTACGTTCCGTTGTTCTGTGGCCTCCTTATCTGGCCACCGGACAACATTTGGCCACGTGTTCAGGCTATGAACACATGCAGAGTATTCATCAGATCATACCGCTAATTTCTCTAGGTTCTCCTTGGAGAGAGTTTTGTAATTTCTCTCCATTCGTCATATACCTTATTAGTTTCGAATCGTTATTACACAGTGGAGCTAGTTCTCTGCCCTGCGGTGTTCTCTCCTCTCTTAAGTTATGCTTCGCGTGTGTGTGTGTGTCTGTGTGTGTGTGTGTGTGTTGGGGGGTGGGGGGGGGGGGGTGATGGGGCTGATAGAGACACTTTGCGTTCTTAAGGATGTGTATCTCGTGTGTGTGTGTGTGTTTGTTTGTCCAACTTGAGGTGAGGGAATATTACCGCGAGGCTCCACTTGTGGCCCGCTGCCGGATAATTATTGTTTATTATTCAGGGGAAAGAAATATTTGGAATGTTTATCTTTGTTTTGCCTCTTCTGACTCTCTCTCACTCTCACTCTCACTCTCACTCACGCTCTCTCTCTCACTCTCTCTTTCTCTCTCTCTCTCTTTCTCTCTCTCTCTCTTTCTCTCTCTCTCTCTCTCTCACTCTCTCTCTCTCTCTCAAACACATCCCCGATTTCAGGCTTCATGGAAGTCGCATGCTGTCGCTATAAATGCCGATATTTCTTGAAAGGGTGGCACTGGGGCCGACCCTGATTCGCCTATGACATTCATATACCCCACATGTGTCATGTTGGAGACCTGAGCGAGGCTAGCCCTTAGTGTCTGGCCTCCTAGTTTCACAGACAGACAGACATTCTATTTTACAGATGTATGTGATCTTTTTGTAACAGTTTCTATATTTAGTGGTAACAGGTACAGGAAGATAACTGTCTGTGATAAATATATCAATTGGTTGGTTGATTTCTCAAGTTATCGCGCGAGAATTTTTTTTTTTTTGGGGGGGGGGGTTAGGGGAAGGGTTTAACGTTGATGTACCGATGTTCTGAAGTGACACAATCAGAGACAGGTTGGCTGACCGTCTTGTGTTGTAATGTCCGGCTTTTAGAGCCCTGTTATAAAAGGTCCTGTACAGTTTGGTTGACTGCATCAGTGACTCCCTGGCTCGATGTATCACCATAGACCCTATATATATATATATATATATATATATATATATATATATATATATATATATATATATATATATATATATATATATATTTGTACATTAACTACCATCTTCTTCAGAGGTTGCTGTTTCTATCTCTCTCTTGTTATTACTTTAACGTGTAACACCTTCCTTCAAGATAGGAACGATGAATGAGTATGGGTGGATATCAATAGGAGGATATTAATAGGGAGCTATCAATAGGGAGTTGCTTAGGTAAGGGCCATAACAAGCCTGCTTCAGTTCCCCCCCCCCCTCCCCAAAAGACTTCCCCACCACCCCATCTCCCTCCCCACCTTCCTTTATCTGTCACGGGAAAATGAGTTAAATTTTTGAGATAACAAAATACATATTACAGGAAACACTGTATTTGATTTCAAAGCACATTTAAAGTACAAGAAAATACTTACAAATGAAAACCGAATGAGTTTACGAAAATACTGCAAAAAAAATGCATGGGATAAAGAGACGCATACAGTAGACAGGTAGATGTAGAAAGGTAGAGACGCAGAGAGGTAGACGCAGCTGCTGGCACTCGAGCAAGGGGAAAGAAGAGACGACCAAGAGTCAACAGATTTAAATGAACAAATCCACAAGGTGCCGTGACGAGGATCCGAACCTGCGTTCGGGAGCATCCCAGACACTGTCTTATTCATTTGATGCATCACGTTAGTGTAATCTCTGTGTGTAGTCAACAGATTTGTTGAGTTGAAGCGAATTCTCCCTCAGCATGGGGGCTAATTTCCTGATGGCAGATAGTCTAGTGGAGTCCTTGATAGTCAAAAACTAACGCGAGTGCACGGAAGCGGTGGAGTAGTCTTGAAGATAGTCCTAGGGGCTGTTGAAGTAGACTGCTGAGGGCATATGCAAAAAATTCTATAACTTCATGGTTTCATTTGTATATATATTCTACAAAATCGTCTTCTTATCATCCTAATTATGTCGTATAAAGTAGTAATATATATATATAACACGTAGAAAGATTAGACACACATATTCCTTGGACATTGTTAGCCTCCGCCTCCACAGTCACAGGAACTACTCAACCTTCACGCCGTGATAACTTGAGATTGAACTAATCTGAATACAGGTGAGGCGGTGGGTGTTGTGTGTGTGTACTCACCTATTTGTGCTTACGGGGGGTTGAGCTCTAGCTCTTCATCCCCCGCCTCCCGCCGTTAACAACAACTGGGTTGTTGTTATTAAAGATTCGCTACCTGGAACAAAGTTCCAAGTAGCACGGGCTATGGCGAGCCCCTCTAACTGGGGCTCTGTGACAGCTGCACCAGAAGATGTATGTGGGTGGATTCTGCTTCACTCTTTAGCGCTCTCAAGAAGTTCACGACCCCCTCACAGTAATGACCTTGGGAGAAGGGGGGGGGGACTTTTTCCCCCACCTGTGTCTCCTCCTTGTCCATGACTCTGGGATCTTTGGTACTGGAACATCAAGATTCTCCTAACCTTTCTCTTTTTTTTTCCAGTGATACGGTGTTGAATAACTTTAAGAGAGTAACCACCAACACTAATAATAACTACCAATGGAAGGAGAGGGTATAGGAATGTAGGAGAGGAGGAGATGAAGATGGAAGAGAGCCAAGGTGAGACAAGATGAATGAATAAAGTAAATATCAGGTGTGGGAGAGAGAGAGAGAGAGAGACAGATAGACAGACAGACAGAAGGGGAAGGGAATAATCAGGGAAAAGCGCCAAGGCTTTGGGGAACTATCAGGGGAAAGCGCACGATTAAATATATATATGTAGCCCTTAGAAAGGGGTTAGGATAAGGATTTGGGATGGGACGGAGAGGAGGGGGGGGGGTCATGAAGGAATGGGGCCCAACCACTTCATGACGGCCG